CACACACACACACACACACAATCCTTAAGGGTAATAGATTTTACTGAGCTTGCATTCTGTTGGCATAACTAAAAGAATCCACTGCTTATCTAAGTTCGTTTGCAGAGTGCTTACAGCTTGGAGGAACCTTTGAGAATGTGCCACTTTGACATATGCGAACCTCTGACTTCAGTATGGGTCAAAATTATTCTCCCCAGCCCTACACATTCTCTTATGTAGGACAGCTGAGGGGCTTTCAGCTACAGTGCTGTGTAAACCCAGGCGGTGGTGCAGGCCTGTAATCCTGACATTCTGTCGTCCTCAGCTACAGAGTAAATTTGTGGCCAGTTCATAAAGTTTGTTTTACATCTGTACTAACTTTCCAGGGATAGAGTGTTTCATGTTGCTCAAAATGAGATGATGTCTTAATGAGTTAGTGTCATACACATCGATATCCAAAAGATGCATCTCTGCCTTATATGAATAAAAGTGCAGTTTTATGCTTATTAGATTCTTGGCTCAACAAAGCTGCTTTGGTAGTAGTTATGGGGACTTTCAGGGAAGTTTAAACAGGATTACTAGAGAATTAATATGAGGTTTGCTAGGGTAGGTCACAATACATATTTATATATTTATATACACACACATATATCATATATGCTTGATTATGAAAAGAACTCTTGTAATAATGTAAATTCCTGATCATTAAGCAGTTAAAATAGATGAAATAAATACAGTAAAATGTTAACAACTATTAATGTTCAATGGTAGCATAAGGTATTCTCTCTGATTTGTTTTTTTGAAAGTTTCTATAATAAAATAAAAGTAATAGAGTAGAGTAGGTGTGAAAAATTATAAACATAGATCAAATCTGGCTCTCTGACTGTTTTTGTCTATAATTGGAATGCCACCAGACTTACAGTTTCTATGGGTAATTTCATTCTGCATAGGCAGAGTGAGTTTTGTAGAGAGCAGGGTATCTGAAAAGCTAAAAAATATCAGTCTAACCTTTATCAACAGTGGTGAATGAAATCTGTTCAGAATGGTTTTCATTAAGGTTTTGAGAACAGTCTGTGAACAGGTAAACAATTCGCTTCAGTTTTTTTTTTTCAGAAATTATTGTCTTTGCTGTGTTTTTAAAATTCAGTTCCACCATTTCTTAGGACTATTATGGACCTACAGTGGTTGTGGGGGAGATAAATACAGATCACAAAAGTTCCCATTTATTTCCCATTGGTTAGAGTGTGAACTGGTGTAGCCCCTGTGAAAATCAGGATAGAAGTTTCTCAAAAATCTAGAAATAGACTGACCCTATGACCCATTTATACCATTCCTGTGCCTTGTCCCAAAGGACTCTCTATCCTGCTATGGAGATGCTTCCCATTCACGTTTATTGCTGATCTTTTCACAACAACCAGGAAATGGAAATAGCCTAGGTGTCCAGCAGCTGATGAATGAATAATGAAAATGTTGTACACATACACAATGGAATATTACTCAACTGTAAAAAAATGGAATTGGGAAATTTGTAGGTAAATAGATGGAGCTGGAAATAACCATTCAGAATGAAGTAACCTAGACCCTGAAAGACAAAAACCTCATGTTCTCTCTCATACATGGATGCCAGCTTTGAATCTTTAGTTATGTGGGCTTAAACTGGAGTACATATAGAAGTCAGGAAATTAGTGAGGCCCATTGAGGTGAATTTTATGGGAGAGGGATAGAACACAGGTGGTATGAAGAGGAAATGGGAATAATAGATCATGAAGGGCTAAATGGGGTAGGAGGTAGGAGGACAGGTTAGAGGAGGGAGTATGAGAAGGTTTTAAAACTTAAAACCTTTGAAATATCCATACGGAAATCTATTATTTTGAAGACTTCCTAAAATATATACATATAGTAAGGGGACAATACTTCTCATAGACACCATAGGCTATTAAATGAAAAGCCCAGTGCTTGAGGCTCTCATCGACACCCCAAACTTTCCAGGCTCTTGTCGTTGCTTTTGGTTATTCCCCAGAACTTGATTGTAAGACCATATTGCTGAAGACATCACATACTTGGATAAAAAGACAATGAAAACTCAAGCTGGTACTGACATCGAAGCCTCATGCCCAAATGCCTAGATTTCATAGTGCTGGGTGTTCTACACATATTATGAGGGAAGAAAAGTCATGGGCAGTCTCACCGGCCAGCTGCGAACACTGAAAGCTACACTAACAACTGTCTTGACAGAGGATGCTCTGGTCCAATACCAGCACGAATTACAGTTACAG